TAAAGTTCATACTTATTTGGGTATGACATTGGATTTTTCGAAGAAAGGAAAAATGAAAATTCGCATGGATGATTATGTGGATCGCATGCTGAGTGAGTTTCCAGTCAAGTTTAAGGACAATGAGATCTAGGAGACACCAGCTGGAAATAATCTACTGGAGAAAGGTAAAGGAGCACTGCTTGAGAAGGAACAACATGAAGTGTTCCATTCGTTTGTTGCCAAATCGTTATTTTTGTCAAAACGTGCTCGTCTGGACATCAGTCCGACAGTATCGATTTTAGCATCAAGGGTGCAATCTCCGAATCTGAGTGATTGGCACAAACTAGTTCGATTGATGAGATACATTCATTCTACAAAAGGATGGCATCTGACATTGAGCGCTGATGATTTGCGCGTGATTAAATGGTATGTCGATGCATCATTTGCTGTTCATCCAGACTTCAAAAGTCACACTGGAGCTGTGATGACAATGGGCACTGGAGCAGTGCAAGCAATTACACAAAAGCAGAAATTGAATTGTGATAGCAGTACACATGCTGAACTAATTGGAGTCCATGATGCAATGTCCAATATTTTGTGGACCCGCTTATTTATGGAAGAACAAGGTTACCCAATCGAGAAGAATATACTATATCAAGATAACAAGAGTTCGAACCTACTTGAAACGAATGGGAGATCTAGCGCCGGAAAAAGGAGCCGTGCGCTAAATATTCGGTATTTCTTTGTGACAGATCAAGTCGAATTGGGCAACATTACTATTGAACACATGCCGACTGATGAAATGTGGGCAGATTACATGACGAAGCCTTTACAGGGCGAAAAGTTTGGCAAATTCCAGGCTGTAATTCAAGGTGACCAGGATTAGTCCTGATGAACGATCTTGAATATTTTACTTGTATTGAGAAGTAATTTTTTCGTTCCATCAACTGGAGTCGCTGATGCAACGACAGGAGTGTGTTGGACGTATTGAGATATTGAGCAATCATATTGGTCGATTATTGATCAATGGTCTATGTGACGTGACGCGGTAGTGACGTGAGTGTTGATCATGCGTAATATGAAACGCAGTATGTCGGAACGTGTCATCACGTAGAAAGGTGATCAAGAATGAGAATCGTGAGAATTTATGAGATGATTTTGAACTGCAATCGAGAGTCTCACTATCGATTGAGTTCTGGCAAGAATAGTATTGTGGACGTTGAGGTCCAAGCAAGTATAGGAGATAATAAAGTAAGACCTTTGATTGAATAAGACTACTGCTTATTCCAGAGGCTGAGGCCCAGAGTCGCTGGTGCCCAAAGGCAAACCATAGCCAACGTAGATTCGATCTCAGGGATTGCTCATTGAAACAGACAGGGCGTTGAGGCTCCCATTCAGGTCTGTAGAGCAAGTCCATCTGACAATCACCACTACTTGTGTTATTGATGCACACGGAGACATAATGACGATGGACGTGCCTAACGCTTTCATTCAAAGTTATATGCCTGAAGCTGAAGGAAGGAGAAGATCGTATCTACATGAAAATCACTGGCATGATGGTCCAGATATTGATTGACATGGCCCCAGAGTATTGCAAATATGTGGTATTAGAGAACGGAAAGCGGTAATCTATGTGCGAGTACTACGTGCTATATATGGGATGTTGCAATCAAGCCTCCTATTCTATAATCAGTTTTGAAGTGATTTGGAGGCAAAGAGATTTGTTTTCAATCCGTATGACCCGTGTGTTGCTAACAAAGTTGTTGATGTATTCCGAAAAAACAAAAATACAAAACCAACACGCATATCCGGGTCCTCAAAACATCACTTTCGGTACTTCGACTACACGATTTTTCTGTAGCGAAACGAAACTCGCTCCTCCTTTATACATCAAAACTGACAATGGGAAAGTCGAAGAATAACAAGAAAGTGGCAATCGCTGCTAAACCTGTTAATTCTACTGCTCTTACTCAGGGTCGCATCAGTTTTTCGCAAAAAAGCCGAGTCAAAACCGCCGAAATTCGATCAAAAAAGGTATCCGACAATTTGGACCCTCCGATCCACAACAACAACAACAGCGACATCAATATGGAAGAGGTTGAGCATCCACTGAAGTACGATCGCATCGTTCCGAACATCGATTTGTCTCAGTGGAACCTGCAGACCCTGGCCTATTTATGCACAATTCACTGGGATACCCCTCGGATTGGTGTGAAACCCATTTCGGATGGGACACGAGAAGAATTTTTGCACCCCTGCAGCACGGGGTTATCAAATTCTAGCTCAACAATGTATGTTCATCATTTAAGGGGATCCTAACTATTTCAGGGTCCAAAACTAATATTTATAGTTTATTTCTC